ATATAATCCATCCATCCATCCATTAATAATCTTTTTATTGTATTACTGTAAAAGTATCTCTCTCTCTCTCTCTCTCTCTATTATGATAATCAAAAATATGGTTATCTATCAATTAATAATCTTAATAATCTTAATAATCTCTATTTTCTCTCCCTATTATCTATCTATCTATCTATCTATCTATCTATCTATCTATCTATCACTAAAATGCCACAATAGAAACAAACAAAACCCAGTACAAGAGTTATCATGTTATACCAGATCATAGATCATGATCACATAATAGTATATGTAAACAGAAAACAAAATTGGGATGATTAAAAAGCGTCTGAATAGCAAGAAAATGTATCTGAATTCATACATTACAGTCTGAGGCCCAGTGCGGTATTCAGGCCACGTGTGCCCAGCCCACGTACAGTATTTCCTGTGTTTGATCATTCACACCATCATGATGTCATATTGTCATGTAAATAAAGTAGGGACACCCCATGGAAGCTGTTTGTTGAACAGATAGCACACTACAGATAAAGGTGAAATACATGAAGATATGACTCATCACATTGACCCGGTGTATTCATTCTGATAATCTAAATCAATGGAAATGCAGATCCATCACATGGATAAAGTAAGTACGCCCCTACTCTTACCACCAGTTCAAATCATTGAAATTGGAATGAAGTGTTTCAGATTGGGTGCCCATGAATAGAACCTTCTTAGGAAGTACGAAGGAGGAAGCTGTCTTTTCTGAACCTCAGACATCTCCGGTCAGGTCTTCTGTTTGCTATTGTGTGTGGTGTCATCATGCCAAGAGCAATTGAGCAATTGAGTTTTCTAAGGACCTCAGAAGGAAGGTTGTGGATTTCTATATGTGTGCCAAGGGTTCTAAAAAGATCGCCATATTTTTTGCAATCGATCATTCCACTAAAAGGAAAATGTTCTCCATGTGATGTAGACTTTTATAACTGCTAATCTGTCCAGGACCGGCCGGCCCAGCAAATTCAGCCCAAGAGCTAAAAAAAATTCTCCAAGAACCTCAATATTTAAAGCCGGGATCTGCAGAAAACTCTTACAACAGTTGGTGTCAAAGGGCATACATCTACAATCAGAAAGAGATTGCCCCACTTTAAACTGCATGGGCGGCGTACCAGGAAAAAATATTTTCTGTCCAAAAAGAACATTAGAACAAGGTTACAGTCTGCCATTGAACTTGTAGGAAAAGACCAAGTCTTCTAGGACAGTGTGCTGCGGATTGATGAATCAGAGATGTTTGGTCATAGTAACAGTGGACATGTTTAGTGCAAACGAAAGACCGCATTAATGGAGAAACACATGTGAAGCATGGTGGTTGAAATGTTATGGTTTGGGGTTGCTTTGCCAGTTGAGTGCCTGTACAGCTTTGCTGTCATTGAGTCAAATATGAATTGTGTGCCTGAAAGGAATGTGAGACCATCTGTCCAAAAGTTGAATTGTAAAATGATTTTTCCACACCACAATTGTCTGAAGCACACTAGCAAATCCATCAAAGAATGGCTCAAAAATGGAAGGTTATATACTAGAGTAGTCAAAGCCCTAATTTGAATCCCATTTAAATGTTGCAAGGGGGGGGGGGGGAAAAAGACCACAAACATATTGAAACTGAAGGAATTGTGCATGGAAGAGCAGCCAAGATTTTACCAGGTTGCTGTCAGAGGATAGGCAAGAAGTCATTTCTAAATGTTCTACTAAAGGGGGCAATACCAGCATTTGAGGCCAAGGGTGCACTTACTTTTTCCATAGTATGCCGTTGCCTCTATTGATATTTTTTGTAGAATTAAAAAGGAAACTTTTCCTTTTTTTCATTTAGGTGAATCACCTTTATCTGTGGATGCTGTTTGAATAAGGATCTAATGTATACCTTTTTTTTACTGTTGAAAAGTCAACAATTTCCAATGGGTGTACTTACTTTTTCACATGACTGTATATGTTAATATAGCTATATTTAATATCCAATTATTTAATAAGAGTACTAATTGCAGCAACACATAGCAACCAAAATTAAGCTTGCCTGGTCTGAGTAATTTCTTATTGGCTGCTATGGCTTACTGCCCTGAAAAGATTAGTATAGTGACAGACCCAGAGAAATCAATGGAGGAGCTACATGACTGTGGAGAGGAATAGTCCCTGGGAAAGGCTTAAAGATTAGAGAAAATAGCAGGCCTTACCTGACTGGAGGTCAAGGGTCAGGTGGTAGGGAGGAACCGCAGGGGTAGGAAGTTAATTGGTTAATACAACCTAGAGGAGCACAAGAACATTTCACAAAAGGTAGATAAGTATATCTAATGTATGATAGCAGGCAGTACATAGAACATTGACTGGGCATCAGGTGATCAAGTGTCAATGATAAGGAGAACTCATCTGATCTAATGTTCCTCTTCCCAGGTGACCTGTGTGCCCATGTGTCCTACTGATTACAAAAGCGTACCTCTGGACTGCCCACATGCTACAATGGATGAAGATGGTGGCCCTGCGGAGAGACAGTCTGATGTGACAATCAGCACACCGGTTGCTCCTCGTCCATGTGGCTCTCCACCTTCTCCCTCTGAGCCTGCCACAGAGGAAAAGCGACCAACAAATGGATTTCCCGCCCATGTGCCTGTCATCAGCTTGGGACATAGCCGGTTGGCACTGCGGCCAGAGCTCACTACTTTACGCCCCGTTCCCCCCTTAATGCTGACACTTCCGGGGATACGGACACCAATTTTTTCTCCACAGTTCCACGCTCACCCCTATCTATCAAGGTAAGAAGCGCACCTAGATGTCTATAAACCTAATTGTAATGTGTGTCATTCAGTAACGCCGTCGTTGCCTTTGGCCAAGGTATCTCAGTAAATCCCAGTTATATATAGCATAAGGTTAGTGTTGGCATGGCCTGACATTTATCACTGAAAGCCTGTAGGCACCAACCTTTTAGGGTCCTTATCATCACCCATCTGCTAAGGTCACGTCTTTTATGGAACACATTTACTTTCTGGTTCCAGCCGCCATAAAATTATGGTAGACTTATCTCCAAAATTGCCACTTCCAAGGTAGACGGGTCCTCACTCCCCTTTGCCACTCCGTTGCCACTACTGCTATCTTCTCCTAATTTTTTTAACATATCCAGAGTGTTCAGTCTTAAGCCAGTTTTCTCCATTGGCTGGGCACAAATGACGTATCTACCAGACATGTGCTTTGGAATTAATTTGTACCAGTCCCTGGCCTTTAATCCCAGCATTTTATAGATGCCGCAGGATAACACAATGAGCTGTGGAAATGCGGCATCCAGTATACAATTGTTAAGAAATATTAGTCTAGCAGGCAGGGAAAGAGGTTCTACATATATATGGAGTCTCTCCTGCCATAAAACACTACCTACCTAGCAATTAAAAAAAAAAAATGACTTCAAATATTAAAGTTAAATTATTGTAATAATGTGTAAATAACCTTAAATGCGAAAACTTTTTGTAATGATAATGGAAAAAAATGTGTGACCAATAAGTATAGAGGGAAAAGCCTCCACTCTGCCTCTGCGGTCTATAGGCCTACTGTGCCTAATGGTAAATCTGGGCCTTGAGGCAAGTGTCCGTGCTAAATACGGGTGATGAAAATATACTCGTGTGCAGAATTTTGGTAATGAAAAATTCCTACAACCGATATGTAGAGATTAGGGATGCACCTATACCAGTTTTTCGGTATCGAGTACGAGTGCCAATTCTTTTTTCAGTTCTCGCCAGTACCGAATACCGGAAGTCCCATTAGGGAAGCCGGGCGGTGTGTAATGACTTGCCACCCGGTTTTCTGATTAGCCGGGAAGCTGAGCGGCGTGTAATGACTCGCCGCCCATCTTCCTGATTACCCGGGAAGCCGTCTCCATGCTCCCTGGTCACCAGGCCAGCTTTCCGACCAATCAGGAAGCTGGGCAGCGAGCCATTACACGCCGCCCGGCTTCCTGATTGGCCGGGAAGCCGGCTCTATGCTCCCTCATCAGCAAGGGACAAGGGAGCACTCGCCACCCAGCTTCCTGATACCCAAAGTTCTGGATCGGGAAAGGCATCGGGAGCATTTGGGCAACTACGAGTACTCGCCCAATTACTTGGTATCGGCACCGATACTGATACTAGTATCGGTATCGGTGTATCCTTAGTAGAGATTATACTTCTTCATCTAACACAACCAGGACAATATTCAGGAGCTGGTGAACAATGTATTGAGTTGCCGAGCGGACCTTACTGAGAACCTTTTGGGTTTACCACGTTCTTCCCTTGACTTCTAAGTTTTCTTATTTGACTGTAACTTTTTTTATTGTAAGTCCTTTCAGTAAGGGTGACCTGGGACTTCTTAGATGGTGATATGAAAGGGGCCGGGCTAAATGAGAAAATAGAAAGGCGTACGGCCAGCTTTCCACAGATGGTTAGAAACAGGGCCATCTCTTTAATGAGGCAGCCTGACGCTGTTACCTCAAGTGGCATCTCTTTGGGCCCCGGAAATTTTGCAGTGTGTCTTCTGCCCCCTTTCTGGCCAGAGCATGCCAGGATGCTAAGAGCCAGGCGGTGAGATGTGTAAAGGCCATACATATCTCTCTGTCCAGCTCTTAGCAAGATGGGACGCTCTGGCCGGCGTCCCGTCCGGATCCTGGCAACCAGTAAGGTCACTGGTTGGCCGGGGCTGGACGGGAAGGCAGCCAGAGCGCCCCAGCTTGCTAAGAGCTGGGTGGGGAGATGCAGAGCCTGCAGAGGGGGAGATATGTGGGAGACCCCCTCCACTGATTGGGTGCACCACCAGCAGACCCATGTTGGTTTATGGGGGACGGATTTGTGCCCATTTACATCAGATTACACCCCGATCCGGCACGTCCATTTAGATCCGGCTGCCCATAGACTTACATTGGGCACCCCATCAGATCTGCCTGAGAAACTGCCAGGCGGTCCTGATTGGAGAACACGTCAGAAAGGGGCCCTAAGTGACACAACTGCAAATTATGATACCCAACCTGCTACAGTTCTTTGAACACTGCCAATCTCATTCCCAATCCAATCTCTGTACTTCAAAGCTGAACTCCAGACAAACAGATTAAATAGACATTTGGGAGCCGTTTACCTACCGAGGGATTTGTATTTCTGTCCATCCTGCCCTGAAATTTGCATGGCTCTGCCCCACTGCACAGCCCTGTCTTGCCGGGGGGGCGTACCTGACCTTTCTGTGCTGCAGTCTCACTTTCACTTACAGGTCTCCTCCTCAACCCCACCCTGTGACTGGACAGTGAAAGGAGAAGCAGCACATATATGAGCTTATCTCTCTGTCGCTCTGCTCACTTCTTCTGTCAGCACACCACTGCAGCACACCTGATTGGCTCCTTATGTTGCATCTCTTTTCTCCTCCTTGTGGACATTACAGAGACTGCAAGAGGTTGATACTAGGGTTGCACCGATACCGATTTTTCGGTATTGAGTACCGATATTTTCCCCCCAGTACTTGCCGATACCGAATACCGATACCGGAAGTCCCATTAAGGAAGCCAGGAGACGTGTAATGGTCGCCACCTGACTTCCTGATTAGCAGGGAGCTGTCCCCATGCTTCTCATTACTAGGTGACAAGGAAGCATGAAGCCGGCTTCCTGGCTAATCAGAAAGCTCGGCGCTGTGTCAGCTTCCCAACCAATCAGGAAACCAGGCAGCGAGTCATTACATGCTGCCCGGCTCCATGCTCCCTCGTCACACGTGAATACAAAGTCAAACTGAGGTATCCACACCGCTTGCATTTAAAAAATATATTTATTAATGGATTGATTACAGAGCCGCATTCGTTCGTGGCTTTTATATTTGCTTTTGCTTCAGAGTTCAGCTTTAAAGTAATATTAAAGTCACAATGTTTTCAGCTAATGCTGATGAAATCACTTACAATGGACGCTGCTTCCTGGTGTATAAAAGTTTTAGTTTCCTGCAGAATCAGCTGGTCCCCTAAACACTGGCCCTGACTTCCTGTTTTAGGGTAACTCCTTTGCACAGCAAGGCAAGCCACTATCTTGCTCCCTGCTCTCCACATCTCCTTCTTCTGTCCTTCTTCCTCCCATCACCAACCTAGTAGATGGATGGCTGCTGAAGACTGCTTTACGGTGGCTCCTTTCCCTTGCAGGATCCTATGAAGCCACCCTTGTGAGTGCTAGTAATCTGTGTGTTACACTGACAGATACTTGAATATCAATTCACAAATCTGATGTATATATAAATAAATATATAATATTATTGTATTATTGGTATATGGATTTTATTTTACTCTGTGTGTATGTATATGTGTGTGTCTGTGTATGTATTTGTGTATATATATATATATATTTATAATCATTATTATTTCTTTTATATTCTGACGACGGCCGCTGTAAAG